CCCGCATCGGGCTCCCTGCTCAGCGGGGAGCCTGCTTCTGCCTCTCCCTCTGCCTCTCTCCCTGCTCATGCTCTCTCTCTCTATCTCTGTGTCTCAAATGAATAAATAAAAAAAATAAAAATAAAAATCAAAAAAAAAAAAAAAAAAAGAAATTGTAAAACTTTTCCAAAATATTGTATCATATTCCAACTAACAGGGTGTGAAAGTTCTAGTTGCTATAATTTTTGTCAGAATTTTTCATTTTAGCCAAATTCTTGTTAAGGGGCGCCTGTGGTGAGGGGCGCCTGGGTGGCTTAGTTAGTTAAGGGGCCGACTCTCAATTTTGGCTTAGGTCATGATCTCAGGGTCCTGGGATCGAGCCCCCATGATGTGCTTCACGCTCACTGGGGAGTCTGCCTGAGGATTCTCTCTCTCACTGCCCCCTCCACATGTGCACATGCATGCTTTCTCTAAAATAAATTTAAAAATCTTTTTTTTTTTTTAAGATTTTATTTATTTGAAAGAGAGAATGAGACAGAGAGAGAGAGCATGAGGGGGGGAGGGTCAGAGGGAGAAGCAGACTCCCTGCTGAGCAGGGAGCCCGATGTGGGGGATCATGACCTGAGCCGAAGGCAGCTGCTTAACCAACTGAGCCACCCAGGCGCCCCTAAATAAATAAATCTTAAAAAAAGAAAAAAAAAAGGTGTGTGGTGATATCTCATGAGGTTTCCCCCCCAGCTGTTTAATAAATATTGAGTATTTTTTAAACAGCTATTTATTTATAATTTTTAATTACTCACCTACATTCAAGTATAGTTGGCTCCCAATATTACATTAGTTTCAGGTGTACAACAGTGATCTGACAGCTCTATGTTATGCTGTGCTCAGCACAAGTGTAGCTACCCTCTGACACCATACAACGCTATTACACTACCACTGATTCCTATATTCCCTATGCTGCATATAGTTTTAATTTTTGCAATTAAATTTCAATTCCTTCTTGTGGTCACTAAGAAATTTGGATTTACTTTTAAAGCCATGTTCTAAAAAGTTATGTATTAACAACTATATTATAATAAAATAATGAATTTAAGGTCTTTATAGTGAATAATTCATTTTATCCCTGCCCACCCAATGTAAACGGTTTATAGGACACAACTGGATAAAATAATTTGATATGGATAGTATATTTACAAGTACCTAAGTCCTCAAAGTTAAAAAGGTTATTTATAATTTCTTTTAAGTTTATTTATTTATTTATCTCTTCACTCAACATAGGGATTGAACTCACAACCCCGAGATCAAGAATCAAATGCTCTTCCAACTGAGCCAGCCAGGCACCCCTATAATTTTTTTTAAGTAAGCTCTATGCCCAACATGGGGCTTGAACTCATGACCCCAAGATCAAGAGTTGCATGCTCTACCAACTAAGCCAGCCAAGTGCCCCAAGGGTTATTTATGATTTGATAAGGAATGAAAAATTGGTGTTCAAAGCACCACTGATCACATGGGAATTTTCTGTACAATGTATCAATTCATAAATTAACACTGAATTTATAATACCTTTTTTTTTCCTTAAAGATTTTATTTATTTGTCAGAGAGCAAGACAGTACAAGCAAGGGGAGCGGCAGAGGGAGAGGGAGAAGCAGGCTCCCCACTGAGCAGGGAGCCAGATGTGGGGCTCGATCCCAGTACCCCAGGATCATGACCTGAGCCAAATGAAGGCTTAACTGACTGAGCCACCCAGGTGCCCTGAATTTAGAATATCTGAGCCACTGAGTTTTTAGTGCCTTTTCAGATGTTTCTGTTAAACATTTTTTGGATTAGTAAGAGTTTTAGTCTTGCAGGTAGACAGACTTCCAAAAGGAAATTTGAGTTACCTTAAAATAAAACATATCCTGGTTTTACAGCTCTCTCACCCAGAACAGAGGACTTAGGAATCCTTTAGCTACACCAACTGTTATTTGGGGTTTTACTTCTTGTTTTGTAGGCATTTTATCTGAATGAATATACCAAATTCATTAAAAAAAAAAATAGTTCTAGATTATACTATATCAGAAGTTTATAGAGGAGGGGCGCCTGGGTGGCTCAGTCGTTAAGCATCTGCCTTTGGCTCAGGTCATGATCTCAGGGTTCTGGGATCGAGCCCCACATCGGGCTCCCTCCTCAGCGGGTGGCCTGCTTCTCCCTCCCCCACTCCGCCTGCTTGTGTTCCCTCTCTCGCTGTCTCTATCTCTGTCAAATAAATAAATAAAATCTTAAAAAAAGTTTATAGAGGAAACTTTTATGTGGGGTTCCCTGACCAACAATCTGTAAAAGGAGAACAAAAAATTCACACATGAAAATCTAATTTAAAATCAAGAGATAATCATTAACAATCTTAAGCCTAACAACCTCTAAAGAGATGGCTTTTTGTAAAATAGTCCATTTTAAAAAACAATGAACAATCAAATTACCTTAGCAGCTTGAGATTCCCTTAAGTAATATTTTAAAAGGTCGGAAAGTTTGAGGTCCTCATCAGCAGACACTCGTGCTTCTATTTTCTGAAAAAGGGGAAAAAATCCGCCATTTAATTAGCACTTATATTCTACAGCCAATGTTTCTTTCATAATTACTGTAAAAAAAAAATTAAAGTTACAAATGACTACAGTATCCATTCCTATTTAATCTAATTTTCCTTGTCTTGTCCTTTCTACTAGCCTATTACTGTACTTCAGAACTTTGACCAAAAATGAACAGAAAAAAGAATGAAATCAAATGAGACTTAGTGAATTTATGGAAGGACTCTATGTTTGACTCAAGTTCTTGGCAATAATGAGTTTCAATATTATCTTTCAGCATCACTAACTACATGTACATTACTAATATACACTTATTACATCTCTTGTTACATCATTTCAATGACATGTACACATGATTTCAAAGTGATAAAGGATGGGGCTCAAGGGTGGATCAGTCAAACATCCGACTCTTGATTTCGGCTCAGGTCATGATCTCAGGGTTGTGAGATGGAGCATGTGTTGGGCTCCACGCTGTGTGTGGAGCCTGCTTAAGATTCTCTCTCCCTCTCCCTCTCCCCTGAAATAAAAATAAAATGATAGGGCGCCTGGGTGGCTCAGTTGGTTAGGCGACTGCCTTCGGCTCAGGTCATGATCCTGGAGTCCCTGGATCGAGTCCCATATCGGGCTCCCTGCTCGGTGGGGAGTCTGCTTCTCCCTCTGACCCTCCCCCTCTCATGTGCTCTCTCTTTCTCATTCTCTCTCTCTCAAACAAATAAATAAAATCTTTAAAAAAAAATGTGGCTAACAATGAAAGACTAGGTAATTCAAATCAATCTTCCTACTGATAACAACCAGAAAACGTAGTCAAAACATTAACAAAATGTGCCTGAAGACAAAAAAGAGTAGTAAACAGATGTGGTTAGTTTGAGTTGGGATAAAATGGGAAGCAGCCATGTCAGACTAAAAAGATGAAACTATTCAATTCAGTTTGGAGAGACAGAAAATTAAAAAAGATGTATTATATGTCAACCAAATACAATATAGGGACCTTGTTTGAATCCCAGCTCAAACGAACTCCACTGTAAAAAGCCATCTGAGGCAAATGGGAGCATCTATATACTCAATATTTGATGATTTAAGGGGAAATCATTGATAATTGTATTGATTATATTAAAATTTTTAAAAAGTGTTCATTTTTAAGATTTTATTTATTTGAGAGAGAGGGAAAGAGAGAGAACATGAGTGGTGGGGAGGGGCAGAGGGAGAGGGAGAAGCAGACTCCCTGCAGAGCAAGGAGCCCAATGCAGGGCCTGATCCCTGGACCCTGAGATCACGAACCCGAGCCAAAGGCAGGTGCTCAAATGAGTCACCCAGGCACCCCATGACTATATTAAAATTAATTCTCATCTTTTTAAAAAAGAGATATGCACAAAGGGCAGAAAAAATGAATATGGACTTTTTGGGAAAAAGCACTTTAAGCAATGTAGAAAATGTTAACATTCAGGAAATCTGGATGACACATGTATAGGAATTCTTTGTACTATTCTTTTTTTAAAAAATATTTTATGTATTCATTTGAGAGAGAGAGAGAATGAGTGGAGGGGAAAGGCAGAGGGAGAGGGAGAAGCAGACTCCCCACTGAGTAGTGAGCCTGACGTGGAGCTCGATCCCAGGACCCTTGAGATCATGACCTGAGCCAAAGGCAGACGCTTAGCCATCTGAGCCACCCAGGCTCCCCTCTTTGTACTATTCTTGCAACTTTTCTGTAAGTCTGAAATTACTGTTGAAATAAAGTTAAAATTTAAAAACCCTGCACATCCAGCAGGATAACTAAAATAAAAAAGATAAGTATTATAAGCTTGTATAGCAATCCAATGCTCACATTTATTCTGGTAGGAATGTAAATTGGTACAATCAATTTGGGAAACAGTTTGGCACTGTCTATGAAAGCTTTTCACATGGAGACCCTATGACCCCTAATTCTCCCCCTGGTTATACACACCCAACAGAAATACATACTTATTTTCAGCTGAAGATATGCAAGAATGGTCTTAGAAGTACTATTTGTAAACAGCCACAAACTAGAAACTCCAAATGCCTACCAACAGTAGAACAGATGAATAAATTTACGTATATTCTTGCAAAGGAAAGCTATATAGCAAGAAGAATGAAGGATCTATACAAACATGCAACAACATGGATGAATAGTATGGACGTAATGTTGAGTAAATGAAACCAGACATAAAAGAATACATACTGCATAAAACACTTATATAAAATATGAAAATAAAATTAATCTCTGCCGTTAGAAGCTAAGGTAGTGGTTACCCTTGTAGGAGGTGGTGACTCAGAAAGCAGGTAAAGAGGGGCAGGGCATCTGGGTTGCTGGTAAGAATTCTGTATCTTTTTTTTTTTTTTAAAGATTTTATTTATTTATTTGACAGAGACAGACACAGTGAGAGAGGGAACACAAGCAGGGGGAGTGGGAGAGGGAGAAGCAGGCTTCCTGCCGAGCAGGGAGCCCGATGCGGGGCTCGATCCCAGGACCCCAGGATCATGACCTGAGCCGAAGGCAGCCGCTTAATGACTGAGCCACCCAGGCGCCCCTAAGAATTCTATATCTTGATCTAGGTGTTCATTACATGAGTGTGTAAAATTTGCAAAATTTCACTGAGCTGTATACTTCTTTTTTTTTTTTTTAAAGATTTTATTTATTTGAGAGAGAGAGAGAGAACACAGAGGGAGAGGGAGAAGCAGACTACCCACTGAGCAGAGAGCCCGAAGCAGGACTCGATCCCAGGACCCTGAGATCATGACCTGAGCCGAAGGCAGACGCTTAACAGACTGAGCCACTCAGGTACCCGTGAGCTGTATACTT